TCCCATCGCCGGGAGCTGCTGGGGGCTGTGCGACCGCCCGGCCGGCAGCGCACCCTTGGCGCAGCCACTGCCCCATCCTCGCACGATGGCTCCGTGGTGTAGAATTCCCACACACCCCCTGACCCCTAAATTTACCCCTAAGTCTAACCCGAATACCAAAGCTTTACCCTAAACTTTAACTTGGACCCCTAACCCATTAATCATAACCCCTAACGCTACCCAAAATGCCTAGCCCTGCCCCAAAAGTCTAGCCCTCACCCAAACACCAAACCCTAACGGAACTGACCCTAACCCCACATTCTAAACCCTAACCTCTAAGGCTAACCTTAGGCTTAATCCTAACACCACACTGCAACCACTAACCCAACCCTAAACCAAACTTTTACCCTAAACCTAAGCCCCAAACCCAAATTCTAACCTCTAACCCTACCTCCCAAACCCTTACTGTAACCCCTAACACAACCCCAAACTCTAACCCTAGGTGCTAACTCTAATCCTAAACCCCTAACCCAAACCACTAACCCTAATGGCCCTACCCTAATCCCTAACCCTCATCTAGCCCCAGTGCTGTCCTGGAAGTCTCCCTGGCAACTGTAGCCCTGCCTTGGAGCTGTGATTGTGAATTGTAATGTGTGTGTAGCACCTGTCGTGGTCTTAAATTTTTTTTTGCTTTTGGTGTTGTGGACTTTGAGAGGGGGGAACCCTTCCCCTTATTTGCATAATTATTTGATTAATTAGCATAATTGATGTGTAATTGGTGCTGTAATTCAAGGTGTAGTAGGGTTAGGTGCAGCACACGTGGTTAGGTAGTATAATCCTCATTAGAGCCCTAATTACTGTAGCTGCACTCATATAATAAAAATGAAAAATCACAAGTCTCATGCAGCTGAAAATTGTTGCTCCTGGGGAGAAATTTTTTAATACTATTGTTATTTTAAAAAAAAATTCTCTCCAGGAACAACCATTTCTAATGCTGCAACTAACATTTTTAATTAGAAATGGAGGTGAGAGAAAGAGATACAGAGAGAGAAAGAGAAACTAAGAGAGGCAGTTTGTTTTTCTCCCAGCTGCTACAGCGACTGAGGCCCTACCCACCCTAGCATTAGGCTGTGCAGCACTTTGAGCACTGCAGGAGGCATCTATTCTAGGGCATTCTTTTGCTGACTGCATACCCCAATAGGAAGGATGCTACCATCCGTAAGCAGCACACAGGGCAGATCTCTCCAATTCCAGATTATACATGGTGGACATGAGGTGCCCAACCACCAGAGGAACAGAGAGATTAATACATTCACTCACAGCATAGGATGAAGTGAAGACAGGAGCAAACCAACACAAGAACCAAGTGACCAGTCCAACTCCAATCGCATAGCAGCAGCCAACAAATGGTGCCATTATCACAGATGTAGTCCTCCCTCTGCTCCCAGTTGTGTTGGTGCCTCACCATCACTGGGAGCTCTGCCCACAATGGACAGTCAGGGAGCCCTTCCAGTAACTGGAAACCCCACACGGTGCACTCACTACATAAGTAAACTCCCCCCTTTGCTGCAAGCAGACCCAGCCTTTATGCTAGGACACCTGATGTCAATGCTAAAGGCAGGGCACCTGGTGGTGATCTCCTAATTGGTTCCCACCCAGGGTTGTTCAGGCCCTGGGTGAAAGCTAATCAGGAAGGTCTTTCCTGCCTGGTTGTGGACATCACCCATATGTCAACTCTGATTCAGGGCTGCAGGTTTAGACCCCAGCACTTCAAGTGCCAACATCCAAGTATTTGTTAAACTGTCTTGCCCTATTCTGTGAATCCTTCTAGAAATCATATCTATTTGTTTTCCCTTTTCATATCAAAATTACATGCCATTTTGTCCTTAAACATAAAAATGATATTTGTGTTATATAAGCTACCAGACACAAACTAATTTTTTGTGCATTACTCCAGTATGATACGCAGGAACTTTACCACTCAATGCCTTAGTGTGTGTATGCAGCATGTGGAGGCACAGAACCAGAATTCATAACTTTACTAACTTCAACTGAGCTTTAAGGATTAGTGTGAACTGTATGTCTGACTGTTTCTTGAATCTCCTTCAGAAAAATCATGTTTGGTCCAGACTTGCACTCTTTAACCTGAACATTATTCTGAAAAGACTGTTCTTTTCAGATGGATAGAGCTGTCATTTATCTTTCAACACACAGGTCTTACTTAGCTTGTATGTCAAATGTTCATGCAGGAGATGTTTGCTCCTGAAAACCCCTTTTGATTTGATCAATTCAGGCTTAAAGTAATTCTGGACAAATGACAATGACCCACATAACTGTAGCTGATTTTTTTTCCCCCAAAGGGAACAAAACACTACAGCAACAGTTTGCACAACAAGAAATACTGACCCTTACCCAGTAAGTTGCCAAGTGCCTGTGCATGTAAATACAGTACTTTAGAATGCATATCTCAAGAAGATAATTCATTCTTGCTGTATAGGTCAGATTAAGGCTATCTCGAGTAAGGACTTCAGAATGTTTGTCTCCAGAATCAGGGTAAAGAACTCAAATTCTGCACAGCACTTGGTCATTTGGAACAGGGAACAGAAAACAGGCAACTATCAAATACAAATAGTTTATTCTTGTCCAAACAATACAAACCAGTAAACAGAGACAACTGGATCTAAATCCAAGCACTTTCTGCTAATATGTTCTGCAAGATGTTGAAGATGTAAAGCTTAGTCCAGCTTGCGTTCTTGGGTTTTGCCACACTGAGGACTGTTCCAGGAGCTGAGAAAGTAGCAGCTTCATACTCAAAAACCCCAAAACCAAACCAAAACCAAACAACAAATATCTACACCCACCACACTTTCATTTTTATTAAATTTTCTTTCCTATTGCTTGATGTCTGGTATCAACTTTATTAAATGTCCAGCTCCAGAATGTTTGATGAAAATCTACATCTGCAGCTGAAGAAGTACAAATACTCAATAAGAAAATCATTACGGACCTACACTTCAGGAAAGTCAAAGGAGTACTCTGTAAGTGAATGGAATAACATCAATATGAAACACCAAACGGGACTAGCCGGCTCCTTTTCGATTTCTTATATTTTATGAAAATTGAAAAAAATAAATCAGATGATTAGACCAACTGCAAAAGCCAGTGCATATGCAGGCTTAAGAATGACATGATGATATTTCTGCTCACTATTTGCTGTTTTTTCTTAATTTCATAGAATTGCTTAGGTTGTAAAAGACCTTCGAGGTCGTTGACTCCAACCATTAACCTATGTCTGTGCATAGTTCACTGCTAAACCATGTCCCTAGGCACCATATCTACTTGACTTTTAAGCACATCCAGGGACACAGACCATAAAAGTTGCTGCTCAGTAACAGAACAAAACTACCACATATATTTAAAGATTATTCCCACAACGAAGTGTCATCAGCTTTATCAATATTTTTTAGTTTCCAGACATTACCATGGGCGTTCACTTGCTCTCACTGAAGTCAATGACACGACTCTCATTGGATTCAACAGGAGTTAAGCTCTCAAAAAATAAGGCAAGGATTGTAACTTCTGTGCAGTCAGGAGTAATGTAATCGGATTGGAATGCACCTTCAGACTTGTATGATTACATGCAAGTGACACAAAAATCACACAGTATTTCACAATAGGTCCTGAAATAAGATATGTAAAATTATGCAGATTCTTACAATGCTATGGAAACTAATACAAATTAAGCTTTATTAATATGGTATAGGGTTATTTTTTTAAGCAATACAAATCTGTGATGTTAATTTGGTAATGAACATGTTCTGAGCGCAATGTTGCCCATAAATAATCAATGGGTTCTGAAACTGACTAAAAATTTAACTAATATAAACACATTATTAAAATGTCATTAACAAGCACATTTGTGCATACACATTTTCTCAATTTATACTAAGCTTCAGAACTCTGTAAACTGTGAGGCATTTAGTGTGCTTAATGTGGCAGAAAGTTCTATAATACAGCTTCATTATTTTATTTTGTTCAGTCCTCTTCCCATCAAACATGCAAACACTGTCATCACCATTTTTGGCTTCACTTCAACCAGATCCTCTGGGAGAGCATATATACGAGCACCGATTTTTCGAGCAACTGAAACTGCATACCTTGGAAAACGAGAGAAAAAAAATACTGTTCTTGCATCTTCTAGCATGCCAAGATTCACAACAACAGATTCTAATAGCAGCTAAGTCAGTACTTAGGCTCTATAAAAATATGGTCATTATTGTGAAGGAAGCCTGTATTAACAGCTGTATTGGCAGACATTTTGCTACTGGTGAACAAAGCATTTATTTTTGTCAAAACCAATATGGATTAGGGCAGGCTATTAATAAACTAATTGCAGGGCACTGCTGGCAGGTTGTATCAGCCAGTTCGGTTCATATTTCAAATATGCTAGAAAAATAGCTCAAGATGATTAAAATTTATAATATATTCTATTTGAAACAAATCAATTAATGCTAATGTAATCCCTTAGGATTCTCCCTCTCTCTTAACAGATCAGTAAATCCCCCATTACAACGTTAATACATTTCCTACACTTAGGAAAATACAAAGCATTCATTTAAAACTTACTTAGCATTATTCAGTTTGTCCTGGTAAGAAAGATCTTCTCTCTTGACCATTTCTGGACGAACTGCATTTGGTGCAATGGCATCTATTAAATCTAGGACAGGTAAACTAGTGCTAATTGATTTGTCCTAAAAGAAAAGACTCAAAAGATTAGTATAAGGAATTTGCTTGGTTATTCCATCTTCACAATGCAAAAACCCCTACAGCACATCTTACATACTTATTGAAAGGCAGCAGCATGCTTTGTTACTTTATTGTCAGAAGGTTTTCCCCTCCCTTATGAGATCAATTTTTTTTCCCCTGCAATCAAAACAACAAGATGCACACTTGGGGCTGATATTATGACACAAATGGTTTAGATTTTTTTTAATGAAAGAAACTCACACACACACACTTTCCCTAAGGAAGGAAGGGAACTTTCAAAGAAGTCCAAGGATCAGACTTTAAAGATAACAAAAATATATTTACACTCCCCAACTACTTTTATTTATCTCCTTTTCTTGTAATGAAAGTATTTGCTGCAGCAGCTTATAGCTCGCTCTTTTTATGATTTTTCAACACGGGTGCTATTCTACGCTAGTACGAGCAGTTGACCATGTATTAAATACAAACCAGAATGTTTACTACTGTTCTTAAAGCAGCAAGTGCTACTGGTGCAATTATTTCTTCCCAACTGTTAGGGCAGAAAAGCAGTTGATGAGGTCAAAGCACAGTCAGCACGCAGAGGCAGTGAGGCTGGTTCTGTTCGGGCAGGGGCTCAGCACATCAGCCAGAGGACGTGGCTGCCTTCGCCACCAGTCAGCAATACGAGTTCAGACTGAGTGAAGTCCCACGCAGCCATCACATTAATTATACATTTAAAAGCAGCAATATGAAAATACTGAATGCATGGAGTGTCTCCCCAAGACCATAAGCTAAATCCCACACCTTTGGAAGTTTATTGTTTGAACTAATGGCAATTCAATAGAACTTTGCTTTCCTAGTCTACAGTGAGTATTGGGGACTTCTGTTTCCTATGCAACCTGCTTGCTGCAGTAACACCAAAATACAGGCAAAAATTCAAATTGTGCAAGACAATATATATGCGAATACCATTAAAAATCAGTAGTAAAAAAACAGTATAGTGAATAATGTCACTTTACATCTGTAGCTCCTTATGTTTATTGGTCTACCATCCGTTGAATTTCCGTAGAAACACAACCAGTGCCACCCAAAACCCAAAGGCATATCAAAAGCAAGATGCAGAGACAGACTCCCTTCATACTTTAAACTTATTTATACCACTGTTATTACAATTTATGTAGAAATAAGAGAAGCAGCAATTGTTTTTAAGAAGATGAAGACCTAAGTTACCTTCTAGAGTAAAAATGAAATAGTTGGTTCTGTAAAATTATTTGATATTATCTTTTACATAATTCAAATGCTTACCTAATTAAATTTCATAGAATAAAAAAGTCATTTAGGTTGGAAAAGACCTTTAAGATCATCGAGTCCAACCATTAACCCAATACACCTACCACTGCCTACCACTAAGCCACGCCCTTAAAAACCACATCTATACATCTCTTAAATACTTCCAGGGATGGCGACTCCACCCCCTCCTTGGGCAGCCCATTCCATGCTTAACAACCCTTTGAGTACAAACCTTTTCCTAATGTCCAATGTAAACCTTCTCTGGTGCAACTTGAAGCTGTTCCTCTTGTAGCACTTGTTACTTGGGAGAACGGAGTGCCCCCCACCCCACTACAGCCTCCTTTCAGGTAGCTGTAGAGAGCAGTAAGGTCTCTCCTCAGCCTCCTTTTCTTCAGGCTAAACCACCCCAGTTCTCTCAGCTGCTCCTCAGAGGACTTGTGCTCTAGAGCCTTCACCAGCTTCATTGCCCTCCTTTGGACATGCTCCAGCATCTCAATGTCTTTCTTGTACTGAGGGGCCCAAAACTGAACCCAGTGCAGCCTCGGCAGTGGAGGTTTATCCACCAGGACAGGAGGATTATCACTGCCCTAGTTCTGCTGGCCACGCTGCTTCTGATACAAGCCAGGATGTTCCTGGCCTTCTTGGCCACCTGGGCACACTGCTGGCTCGTATTCAGACAGCTGTCAACCAACACCCCCAGGTCCTCTGCCACTGTATGGCTTTCCAGCCACTCTTCCCCAAGCCTGTAGCAGTGCATGGGGTTGTTGTAGCCCAAGTGCAGGACCCCAGCACTTGGCCTTGTTAAACCTCACACAATTGGCCTTGGCCCATGGATCCAGTCTGTCTGGTTCCTCTGTCGAGACTTTCCACCCTCAAGCAGATCAACACTCAACTGCCCAACATGGTGTAATCTGCAAACTTATTGAGGATGCCCTTGATCCCCTCATCCAGAGGGACTGGTAATTTCCGACAGGAGTCCCCCCTTTGAAAGTTCAGCCTTTTGGTGGTGGTAGGTTTTACTTGTTTTTAATCTTACAGCAGCAGTTATAATTTCTTTTTGTTTCTTACTAATAGACTTGTAAAATACTTTTGAAGATTCATAGGCTGTCAGGAATACTTCCTTATACAATTGTGCTATCTGATGGGAGAGCCACCGTTAAAACCAAACTGTTAACAAATCAGATTAAAAATATGAGATCTCATTATATGTGGAAAGGAGAAAAGCAAATTAGTTTTGTTACCTTGAAACTTGTAATTGAAGTTTTCTTATTTGCATTTGCAAGTTTCTGGTTCACCCACTTAAAAATAATTTCATCATTTACTTTTTCCCCCTCTCCAAGGTCTAATAGTACATTCAAAGTATACCTTTAACAAAGAAGGAGTCAGAGTTAAAATGAGTGGTTGAACTCAACTCTGCTAACAGTACAAAGCTACAAGCAAAAGTAAAATATTACTTCAACACAGTAACAGTGCCAAGTACTCATCTTCATAAGGTTTACCTTATAGACTATTTAACCCTTTAAAAATTTTTTTTGGTTGTTGCAAGAATAAAATAACATCCCAAACTCATAATATTCACTATTACATATTCTTCAGGTATTTGTTTTACTTGGCACGTTGTAACTATTTTGACTTTGTAAGCTTAAACGGCTCCTTACATTCAAATCACCTTGAAAAAATTAATCACGAGAGTCTAAGAAAGAAAAAGCTTTGAGTGTTTTAGGGTAGGTGTAAGAAAATCAACTCGTGGGAAGTATTTGCAATAAAATACTCTTTATTGAATTCAATTTCGAATATATTTTTTTTCCTGTACAGTGCACTATCAGGATTTCGATTTTATGATAGTTATATTACTATAGTTGTGATGGCCTAAAAATTTATTCCCATTTTGACTTCTACAGCATACATCACCTCTTCCTATTTTTTTATGTTTTAATTTAAATTACTGTCTACTTAGCTTTCATTTGCCTTGATATACAGAGACACATATACACATGTGCACAGATACATATGTATCCAGATCTATCATATACTGTGCCTAACTCACCTTCTCATCAGCTGCCACACCAAAGCCAGAGTCAGAGTTGGATTACCCTCATTTAGGTCATGTCCAGCAATACCAACCAGTGAGAATCTGGCTTTTGTCTTCCCAAGTTCTACTGCGTAATTGCAATTCTCAATCTAAACATAAATGTGTGCAAATAATGAAAACACCTTAATATTTTTATAGTACTATAAAATAATATTATCTATGTGCATTTTGAATTACACTGTCTTAGTGTTACCTGTGGTGATATTTGGAGCTAGAGGAAGATTTCTAGACTTTCTATACCATGATTAAAATAAAGCATAGCTCTCGTCATGAATGCAAGTCTGCAAGATTCCAGTGACAAACTTTTTCCACATTTGAGAAAACCAAGTTCACTTCCACTAAAGCAAATCAATTCATATATATTTACATTGAAACTGAAACTGGAAAAAATACTGAAATTTGATCTTTTTAAACATGACTAATTGTTTTTTTCCTCTTTCTCTCTACATTACAGGCCTCATAACAATCACAACACTGACTGAAAGCTTGGATTCTGCAAGTCTTGCACAAATTCTTCTGGCAGTGCATAAAACTGCTCTGTGAAGAAACACCTCCCAGTATAAAAGCATCAGGCAACAGTAGCTGTGTCAGGCCTGAAACTTGTGCTTATAGATCCTAAATAGATCCTAAATGAAATATTGTCAAAAGGTGTACATATGTAGAAACTAAAGTGATATATGTATGACTGTTACTTATTCATTGGGATATCATCTGGAAGATACTCTTTTTCTTTTTCTTTTCCCCCAGCACTGTCTCACTAGCATGCAAATCTAGACAATCCAGGTTGCTCCAAAACAGCATAATGGGAGACATTGAAACAGGGCTTATTACAGAGTATCTACCCACCTTTTTCATATTACTGCCAAGTAATGGATAAGGAGGTTTGTTGACGTGGTTCCAGTCAACTGGCACACGAGTCATATCATACAATTGGAAGATTATCAAAGCATCAGAAAGGTCACTAAACCAGAGCAGAACAACTTTTTTAAGTACAAAAGCATATACTCACAATGAAAATTTTAAGTACTTCACAGTTCTTGAAGTGTTATTAAGCTGCTGAAAAAATCCAGTCCTATATCCTATCTCTTGAGGTAGGCAACTATTTACATTAAATTGTGTATTTAATTTCATTCTTTCAAAAAATCTCAGTGAAGAAAGCATAGATGCTGGTTTTTAACTTTTTTACTAACTTAACTTTCATAAATTTTTAACTAATTTAACTTTCATTAAGTAACTGTTTTCATAGGTTAGGCCTAGATAAAACATCTAGCTAGAAAATTTTAAATTTGCTGATCTAGTTTTAGTTTCCACAGGATTTTCCAAAATGTTACTCATGCTTTATCTGCACCTACAGATACAATTTGCTAAAGAATAATCAAACACAATATACTTATATTAGTAAAAGTATTATTTTCCCATTATAAATTGCATTCCTGATAATCCCCTTCGGCTACTTGCTGAATACTCTGTACATTCACTCCTCCACAGGCAGTATCACTTTACAGAGGTCAGAGAACAGAAACAATGAAACCTAACAGCAAGTATACATGCAAGTAGATGTTCCCAGTTGCTCCCTACATCCCATCTTTTATTAATTGGATTTGAATCAACTGTCGGCACAATTTGAAAGTGGTGAAAAGCATTTAAAAAGTATGCTAAAAACCTCTTTGTTTTGAGGGAGTACCACAATGCATAGAATCCTACAGTCTACTAAGCAGACATCTATCCTCTCTTACAGTTCAGAGAGGAGCATATCAAAACTTCTTAGGGTTTTAAATTCCTGTCACAGTGTGTGAAAATCTGGAAATCACTGTTCTAGTAGAAATACAACTTTCCTTTCTTCCTTCCTCCTTTCTTGCCCCGTCATCTAAGAGGAATCAAATTATAGTTGTGGTGGGTTTTTTTGTTTGTTTGGTTGTTTTTTTTAAAAAAAGCCTTACCTGTATAAATGATTAACATATGGGGTTACACCCAGGGAATTCATCCAGTTTCTGAAAGTCCTTTCTTCCTTACTTTCTCCTGTGGTGACAAATATAATTCTGTATAAATTATTGGAAAAACAATTTAATAAGCAAAGTTTAAATGACTCTCATATCCCTTCCTTCATCACCAAAAATGAGTTCATACTTTGTCTAACAATAGTCTCTACTGGCCAATAAGTCAAGGCAATCCTATCAAATTCAGAGTCCCTCAGTTCTGGGCACAAGGTCAGAGGCACTACAGGGAGTACTACTACATTTTTTTTGTGTAAATACAACTGGATAAAATACAGAAATACTTTGTTGGTTATATTTTAGACAATATATAATGCAGAAAATTGTGATGATTAATAATGTTTTAAAATTAAAACCAGTGGAAATTGCATTCAATAGTATCTTTACATCTGTTTGAAATGGCTTATTTTTAATAGAAGTTAGTACTAACACACGCATTGCAATTGCATCAAACTCCAGAAACTAGAGCTCCGCTTCTCTCCACACAAGAGCTCCCAGTATGAATTTGTGAAGATCCTCCCTAGCACAATAGGCCTCTTCCATTTTTAACACGGGAGACTTAGCAAGGCAGTACTGGATAGGTTAAATCTGTGAAGCTACTGATACTGCCAAGGGGCCTAGTTATTCTTGCATTTTAACTAGCAACTCTGCTTAGAAGAAATGAAAAAAAATCAGTAGAAAATAAGCCACCTTCATTTTTCTGACTTAGAGTCTTTTTTAAATCTATTGTAATCATGAGTTCCTAAACTAGTGTTCTTTCTTTAGAAAGCTACAGTTTGCAGCAATACATTAATTTCCTACATACAGCATTACCTAAATTTTAACAATATGTGTGGCCAATTGCATGTGAATCAGTGTGGCAGTAGTTTTCTCTGACACCAAGGAAGAGTGTTTAAGAACATATTTAGCCTGCATACGTGAACTTGGAATAACATAATTTTGTTCTCCTGGGCTGATAATCCACAGCAGAGAGAACAAAGGACATTGAGGAGGGAGAAAACCTCTCCAAAGAACCGAAAAGAACAGACTTCACAGGACTGAAACACATCAAAAATCTTTGATTTTTTTAATTTGTTCCTTATAGAATAATGTTATTGAGTTTGTCTAATTACATTTATGTAGCATGAAAACTGCCTCATTTATTATTGCAATTCTATGCTGAATACAGATAAATTAATTTTTTTTTTAAAATGAATCGACTGTATAAACATGTATTTATCAATAGAAAGAAAATCTCCTTAATATTAAAGCTCTGGACTTAAAGATATTGACAAAAAAGTAATTTCAGAAATTTCAGCTGTAATTGACATTTTCTGGCAGAAAAAAATTTATTTAAAAAGCTTAGGTCAGCTTACCAGTTACTTTCCTTTCCAGTTACTATGAAATAGATTATATCCATCCTACTGATATTTTCTATATAAATTAAAAGGAATTTCATATGTAATTCAAACTAGTATTTATTTCAAATATTTACTTGTAAAAATTAACAGTCACTGATGAATACGTGCTGAAACAAAGAAAAATAGTATTCTGCAAGGTCTTCAGGCAATCAGCTTTGTTTCACATATTTCTTCTCACAACACAATTAAAATACAACAAAGAACCACATTTTATGACAAAGTTATTAAAAAGATCAGTGTTTTTCCATTAAAAATATACAATCAAAATACAAGCATGATACATAATTTATGTTTATAAGAAGTAACTCAAGAGGTTACAGTATTTCAAAGCAAGTCCCTTTTGCTTTTTTTTCCTTTTTTGAAGTTTTTGGACTTACTGAGCTTTGAGCTAGTTTGCAATACCTAAAATACTGACTGCAAATTGCTTTTAGGAACACTTGTCCATTTCAAAGACAGTAACAAGATTATTTAAGTAACTCTTACTAAACAAGGCATGGCTACAAAGACAGATATGCAGCAACTGCACTCACACTGAGAATTTTAAACTGCATGCTCAACATTGCCAAAAGGATCCAAAGGAGCCAAGCAGGAGTAAAAGCATGCAAGTTTGGCAGCACCCTTTTGGATAGTGGGAATCCAGGAACTAAAGCCAGCATACTATATTTAATATGCCACTCTAAACAAATCCCTTTAGCATGCAACACATAAGCGTTCTTAAGTTTTCCAGATGGCTGAGAACTGACCAATTTTTTCTCTCTGTTCTTTTAATCAAAATATACCTTGTGATCCTATCAGGAGCATATCTTCTGCTGAGTGCTGCAGCAGATAGCCAAAATCATTGGAAAACTGCAGAAAGGGGGCAGAGCTACACAAAAGAGAGAGGAGCAAATTTGGTCCTTTACATTTATATAAATATATATATATATAA